CAAGGATTAGTCCTAAGCCCTACCCGCTTTTGGACTCGCTCCTTAAGAGTGTATTTCCTACATGCACAGAAATATAATTATCTATACTTATACTTAGCAATGTTTCATCATTAGACAAGGTCTCCATTCTGAGAACAAGAACCATGTAATGTTTATATGATAACCCCACTTAGCTCTTAGGTATTTCAAACTTGACTTCAAAGCTTAACTCAACAATTTGACCCCTAAGCATACTTCAACTCTGTTACCTAAATAAATGGCACTACTGGTTATCCATGTACTTATGTCAGAAACCTTGGATTCACCTCTAATGTCTCCTTTCCTTCATCCTTGTGCCAGATTCACCCCTGAAGTTTTTAATTTTATCTTTAAAATTTCTCTCAAATCCATTCTGTTCATCTCCATAGTTACAACTAGAAACCAAGCCTTCTATTACTATACAACAGGACTCCTACAATAGGCCTGTGTAAAACCCTCAATCACCTTCTGTCATCCTTAAGATAGTATCCAAATCCTGACCTGTCTGGCTCATGCATTCCTCTTATATCCTCACTATATATATTCTATCCTTTACTTTCTATCTCTCTTCATTGAATGCTCCTTCATCCCTCTTTTTGGTCCTTTATGTCTTAATTTATATGAAACTTCTTTGTAGCCATCCACCCACATGTGTTCATGGTACCTTATATTTCTCACTCATGTTATTTGATACAATTATAACCAGTTAACTGTGCAATTATTTAATGTACATCTCTTAAGTTAGACTTTAAAATTATAGGGGCAGATACTCATCTAACTTATCCCTATGTCCTTAGTCATCTAAGAAACCTGGCACACTACCAACGTGTGTGTAAGTCCAGAGGGACCTGTCCTTGGGTTGCTATCACCACTGCAGGGGAAATATTTTAACACTGAAATGCTTTCTTGCACATTTCAGGTCATTTTTCAGGCAGTCTTCCTATAGCTATTATCACTAAGAGATAAATATATATAGTTCCTAGGACTAGCATTCTAATCATTTGGTGAAAGATTAAAACTTCATCTAAACAGGTAAACACTTTCGACTACAAATTACAGAAAAAAATTGCTTCTGCAAACTCACAGTCCTTTTTTTTCCTGAAGCAAAAGTGATGACATCGGTCTTATATATCTAGTTTTAACACTTTAAGATGAGAAAATTAAATTTGTGATTATTTCAAAATAATACAAATTATGTAAGGTTAACATGAAAGACTGAATTCTACATTTACCATATAATAAGTATCAGAAGTACTGAGCCACAGATGGCAAATGAACAAGAAACTGCCACAGGTATTACTTTCTTTTTGCTCTAGACACTAGTGCAATTCTCAAACACAATCCCTGAATCCAATCCTGTAACTACTCCACCATAAATCATAATCATAGAGTATATGTTTCCTATCAGAACTATTGAAAGTTCTACTTGTGACAAAGCACACAATGTAAAATTCATGCTAGATGAATGTGATAAAAGCCAAAATTAAATAAGTATATGTTCTGTAATACTTTTAAAATGTAAAATTATGCTTCAAGTTCTACAATATGAGTATAAAAACATTTTATATACTAATGATACATGAGGCTCTGATACTCTACAGAACTATAAAATAAACCCAAAATTTAATTCAAGTATATCACAGATTTTTTTTTTTTTTTTTGGTACCTGGGATCAAACTCAGGACCTTGCCCTTGAGGCAGGCAGTGGCACTACTGAGCTAAATCCCCAGTCCAGCTTTTTTGTTATTTATAACAGTGATCAAACTCTGGACCTTGTGTTTGCAACCCTGCTAGTTACATTAATGGAAAATTTGTTTTCTGGAAAGCATGAAACTAGATCTCTCATACTGAGAAGTTTCACAAAGCAAAACACATGGTCAAAATTATTCTTTGTATTTCATAAAGTCTGTAGTAACTTCCTCCACCACTAGATGGTAGTATCACTTCAGAATTCTAGGGAATAAAATAGAGCCAGCTACATTAATCAGTATGTATTGATCATCCCTCCCAAAGATCTCCAGTCCCAGTATGCTCATGTCCTTGTATTAATCAGATCACAAGTCTCAATCCTCAGCGGTTAACATACATGGCCACTACAATCTTAAAAGTGTATTAAATAAATACACTATTAAAATCTGAAGTAATGAAAGGTTAGAAAATAAACTTTCCCAAAAGAGTTTTGAATTCAGTTCTAGAATCAGGTGATAAAAAAGGGGAAAATTTACAAAGGCTTTTGAGTTATACTTTATCAACTCAAAAGCATTTTGTTCTTCTTTTGTGGAGTTTTTTTGTTTGATCTTTTAAAAATTTTTTATATTATTTTATCCAATTCCCCCACCCTCCCTATGTACAAATGCTTTGTTTCCAGTTTTGCCTCGTAACTTTTTTCTTGTCCCTTCCTTCCTCCCTCCTTTTTGCTCATCCCATTTGAACATTTTCTTTCCATTTCCCAATATCTATTATACATTTTAATCCTTATTTTCACTTTCAGTTTCTCACACCAGAGAAACAATGTGGTATTTAAACCTGAAGCATTTTTGTTTCTATTACTTATCTAGCTTGTTTATCTTAAGGCTAGTTTTTGTAGACCACTGTATTTTTGAATTTTAAATTTCTGTATTTGTAATTGTACATATCTAAAGGGTAATACAATAATTTGGTAAATACATAATGATCAAATCAGGGTTAGTAGTACTTCCACATCCTTAAATATTTATAATTTCTATCAGTGCACCATAGCTGCACATATTTATAACATTGTGATATTTCATTACATGGTATAAAATCTGACTGTGTAAGTTTTTTCTTTTGGCAGTGTTAGAGAATAAATCCAGAGCCTTGCACATGCTAAGTGCGCTACCACTGAGCTGCATCCCCAGTCCACAATTATATTTTAACCTGTACTTTAAAAATTTGGATTAATCTGGAGTCCAGAAATGAACAGGGCTAAGGAAGTGTTTCAGAGGCAGAACACTTGCCTAGCATGCACAAGGCCCTGGACTCCATCCCCAGTACTGCAAAAAAAAAAAAAAAAGTGAAAACAATACTGTTTTGTATTATAAAAGCCATGATCTAAGAAATTAAAAAGGACCACCAATTTTAATATGTTAACACTGGTAATAGTTTAGTCTTTATAAAAGAAACAACTTCCTTAAACAACTGTGCTCAATCCATATAAGTTCTAAGCAGCAAGTTCTTACATACTAATAAAAATTTTAAAGATCTCTAATCTAAATGAAAGAATAGAACAATCTCATATTAAATTCAAGCCATTGTATATTGTTGGTAAAAGTACCAAAATCATGTGTTTGAAAAAGTCTGAAGTCCAAATTTGATCTGAGAACTTACCCGTTTTTAAGACCAACTACACATACAAAGGTATGATCTAAAAATATAGTGAATATTTAAATTAAAAAACAATTTATTACAGCAAAAGTTACATTGTCATTAATCTCCCTCAAAGAAACCCCACACACACACTTTGAACACTCTTATCCCATCATTCTTGTCATTGTCTGTCTGTCTTTCTTTTCTTTTCTTTTTTTTTGTACCAGGCATCAAACTCAGGTCCTTGTGCTTGCAAGGCAGGCAGTGGAACCACTGAGCTAAATCCCAGGCCCAAAGATTTCTTTTTTTGGTACCGGGGATCAAGCTCAGGACCTCCTACTTGCAAGGCAGGTGGTGGCACCACTGAGCTAAATCCATGGACCCTCTTGTCTCTTGTCACTTTCTTTTCTTTTTTTGGGGGGGTGGTACTGGGTATCAAACTTGGGCCCTTGCACTTGCGAGGCAGGCTGCAGAACCACTGAGCCAAACCCCTGGTGCCCTCTTTGTCACTTTTTTTTTTTTTGGTACTGGGGATTGAACTAGGCACCACTGCTAAATCCATGGACCCTCTTGTCTCTTGTCACTTTCTTTTCTTTTTTTGGGGGGGTGGTACTGGGTATCAAACTTGGGCCCTTGCACTTGCGAGGCAGGCTGCAGAACCACTGAGCCAAACCCCTGGTGCGCCCTTTGTCACTTTTTTTTTTTTAAGAACTTCCACAACAGCTTCAGAAAGTTGCAAGAACAATGAAGTATTTTCAAAATGAGGGAGAGTAACTGCAATGTGCCTTTCACTGTCTATTTTGATCACACTTCATATAAATAGGACTAGCCTGAATTTAAGTCAAAACTGTAAAATAATTTCCTTTTAAAAATCTGATTATACGTATGTCAGTATTATTTTTAAAATACAGTAGTCACCCCTTATCTGCAGGCGATATGTCCTAAGACTCCTACTAAAGGCCTGAAACCATGCATAGTACCAAACCCTAGTACACTATTTTTTTCCTATCCATCCATCCATCCATAAATAGAATAAAGTTTAATTTAAAAATTAGGTACTATAAGAGGCTAACAGAAGGCCAGGTATTTGGTTCAGTAGTTCTGCCACCTGCCTTGCATGCGCAAGGACCCGAGTTCATTCCCTGGTACAGAAAAAAAAAAAGAGGCTAACAACAACTAACAACAGAAAACATAGTATAGTAAAGTTATTTAAAACTTAAGAATTATTTCCTTCTGGAAATTTCATCTAATATTTTTGGACTGTGGTTGATCATAGGTAACTGAAACAGAACCCTGCATGGAGGAGGAAATACTGTACTACAGTACGAATAAAAATTTAATACAAAATTTGATTACAAAAGGGAGATTGCAATCCCAAGTATTCCCAAGATCATAGTCTCCTTTATCACCTTTACAGAAATATGTCACTATTTCTTCTTAAAGTAAAATAAATTTTCAACATATACTTTATTAAACTTTGGGGTAAAAGTTACCTTAAAAATTCAGGTTTTTTTCACTATGTACATTAGTTTAACATAATGATTTTCTCAATTCTTCTATAAATATTAAGATCATCTTAAGAAATTAGGATAGGACAATTACTCATATTTTACTCAAATTCCTTCTTGAAACTAAAAAGTGGCTAAATGACATACCTTCCGAATTATGTGCAGTTTTCTTGTGTTTTCGACAATAAACCCTACAAAAACAATGAAGAAATTAAAACTTGTCAAGTAAGAAAACAAAATTAAACTCTTATTTCCATTTAAGAAAATGAGTAGCACATGTCACCCCATTCACAAACTGGATTCAAAAAATATTATTGTGAAACTTTTTTGTGCATCATCTAATCATTGAATTCCTTACAAAAACTCTATGAAGATGATGAAATGCTTTGAAATGGGAAATATTTTAACAAAAGCCCCCAAATTATGACTTTAAACAACTTAAGGAGAAGTTAAATAATCACATGTAAATTCCTTGTGAAGGTTTCTCTCGTATTTGAGCTTTATCGTGCAATGCACAGTGGTAGTGGTAAGTCCTGTGGCATGTTTTCACATCACAACCAATTGTTGCTCCAGGGCAGTGGCACAAAGAACACATCTACAGCAAAACAACAAAATGTATTATTACTACCTGATTTTGCTAAGACCATGACATTAGGGTAGAGGTATATCAATTTACATCAAGGAAAACAAACTTCTTCAAAGTCTTTGTAAATAGGGAAGGGTAGAGGGGTTGAAGGGAGGCCAGGGGAATGGGGAAAAAAATAAGAAACAAGATACATTACATAAGGTACAAGTTCTCAATGATAAATGTAACTGCACTGTGTACCTAAAATGTCCCAATAAACTTAATGGAAAAGAAAATGAAAAACAAAACCGTTACTGAAAACTTTTATAATTAATAATGGTATTTTTCTTGTTTCCTCTCTTAGAAATAATTTGCATACATTTTTTCTGGAGGTATTTTTCCTATGATAAACTCTGACAAAATTAATGAATGTCATAAATGTCTATTATTTCACTGTGGTCAAGAAAAAGTTGAAATATTGAAAAATCAGGGATGTTAGCTGCATATAACCTTGTAAAAGTGGATCTTTTCTTATAATCCAAATCTTGGACATGAGCAATGAGAAAAAACATCTTATATGAGAAAAAAAATTATTTTCTTAAAAGTGTCACTTAGTAGAGTACATGGTTCTGATTTAGGATGCACAAGAATTGCTGATGCCCAGCACACAAAACAAATGAAAAATAAAACAAAAATAAAATTACCATTTTAAGTGTGGAAAGGAGAGAAAACAAAATAATTAGCATTTTTTTTTTTTTTTTAGTACCAGGGATCAAACTTGGGACCTTGCACTTGCAAGGCAGGAGGCAGAACCACTGAGCTAAATCCCTGGCCCCAAGAATTAGCTTTTAAACGCCTTGAATTCTGAGGTTATTTTGTGATGTCAAGTTGATTGTATTGTGGAAATATATTCATATACTTCAATTTAATCTATGTCACTTACCTTTTGTTTAGATGTGTCTAACCTTTTAAAAATTATTATTGTTACCTGTTGCATTAAGAATTCAGGTGAACAGGTTACTTCATATTTTAATACATGTGACCTTTTGAATTTATTGGAAAATTCATACTGATTAACTAGCTCATGCTCTGTATGTAGAAAAACTTTTAAAAATGCACGCAACTGTTAATAGTTTTGTTTTACATATCACAGTGTACTATATAAACCTAGTACACTTTTAATGAGGCTATCTCTTAAGCTATAAATGCCATACCCAAATATTCACAGTAAGTCTAAAAAATTTCTTTTGCTTCTTAGTTGTTAGATACCCTGCTCTGTTTTTTTTCTAGTATCACAGCTCAAACTCAGGACCTTGTGCTTGCAAGGAGTCACGGTGTCACTGAGCTAAATCCCCGGCTTGCCAGATACCCTGTTCTAATCTGTTCTCACTTCTCTTTATTAATTTGAACATAAGGAACACTTACTATCCTAATGTTTGAATTGGGTGGCCCCTAAGCAATTCTGGTGTATCAAGATTCTAATAACGATTCCAGTAAAATTTCTTACATTTCTCTAAGCAAGCCAAACACTCAAACTCATTCAAGCTTTCATTTAAAAAATACTCATGTGGCCAGGCATGGTAGTACATGAATGTAATCCCAGTACTCTGGCAAGGCTGAGGCAGGAACTGGAAGTGCAAGTCCAGCCTAAACAATTCAGTGACTTAGGGAGATCCTGTCTTATGCAAGGATCCGAGTTCAATTCCTGGGACCAAAAAAAAAAAAAAAAAAAAAA